ATTGTGATCAATGTTTCTTAGCTCTTTATATTTAGCATTTTAATCAAATAGACTAGCTAGAATAATGAATAGGCCTTTTAAGGCAATCTGTAATAAAGGCTTTCATGCCTTTTTAGGTATGGGCCTCCTAGAAAAAGGAGCCCAAATGATTGTAAAACCTACCTTTCCCGTCAGGCTATATATATGCCTTAAGGGAAAGGCTAGGTTAAGCTTTTCAACATTCCTAGTGCCGCAGAGCCTATTTCCGTGTAAGGTTTTTACGCTGAAACATTCATATCATTCTGTAAAACCTTCACATCAATGGAAAGCTTCATACACAGATCTATCTTCCATACATACACATTCTAGACTAGAAAACAGGGACCTAACATGTAAGCACTTTGTTCTTGCGCAACATGGTAGAACACACTATGATCTATCCACTGTCGAATTTGTGCGACAGTTTTTCGATTCATTTTTGTCCATTCTTCATCCGTTTTTTATCCGGTTTCACGCCATTATTATCAAGAGGATTGGCTAAATCCCTCAAATTTAGCAAATCCTCCATCTGAGGCTTCCACATATTGTAATTTGTGGAAGTGAGCGCAATCATGGTGTCCGATGATGATTTATCCATCATAAAACACTCAATATATCCCGTACCTTATTTTCGAAGCCGAATTTGGACAAACGGATCTCGCTGTTGGATCCGGAATGGTCGAAAATGGTAGGAATCGGTCTGACCTCGTCCAAAACCGGTCTGAAAATGGGTGAACCGGCCTCCACAACTAAGAACCGGTTCGGTCCGGTTCAGGCAGCAGCCCAGTGGGCAGGCCATCAGGCGGATGACGTGGCAACAGCTGGCTCTGCGTTGGCGCTGACGTGGCGCCACGCGGCAGATGACGTGGCGACTGAAGGACGAATAAGTGGATGACGTGGACGATGACTCAGCACGACATGGCGATGACGTGGCCCAACGTGGCGATGACGTGGCAGCTGACGTGGATCGTCTTCTTCCTCTGGACTGCGTGATGACGCAGTGATGACGCAGGCAGTTTTCCAGTGGCGTTTGGGCGGCGCGTACGGCCTCTTCCGGTGGCCAAAAAAATAACCAAAACTACCAGATTTCTCGTCTCAACGAGACGAATCTAACAGTATGATCATATCGTGATTCCGAGCAACTTCAAAAATCACGATTTTCTAACCTATAGAAATTTATCTGAAAATGAGAAAAACAGTGTATGGAAACTCAACCTCGCTCTGATACCACTTGTTGGCTTGTTGGGATTGGAAAATTCTTCTATTCAATATCAAGAACAGAATTACAATAGGAGGAGCAAACTCTCACACTCAACTATTACAAAAAACAATCCTCACCAATATACTTCTACTCTAAGTGTATTTTACTCTTCACACACTTTTCACACTTTCTAAACTGATGATAATGAACAACAATAGAACACTCTATTTATAGGCTAGTTTGGAGACAAGAGTAAGTTGCATCCAAGCTTCCATAGTTATCTCCATATCTTTCCCATGTTCATATGTAGGAGACCTCCTTCCTAGAAGGTGTGAGATGCTTCTTGGCAATTCACTTCCAAGAAAGAAGGTGGAAATTCCCTACAAAAAATAAAAATCACATTCAAAACTCATAACCTTTCCTTTATAAGCAGTTAAGCACCATCATATATAAAGTATTTTTTATTTCCCATAGAAATATAACTAGAACGTTAAATTGAAAGATATAAAATAACACTTTCATATAAAAATGGAAAAAGCTCCAGGCCTCGAACAAGATTATATTCAAACCAATTTCTATTCATAAAAATATCCCACACCGAAAAATTGTTAAATATTAAAGTGTTATATTAACATCTAGGTTACTCATCCTTTTAGCCTTTTAAACGTGGAACCCCAAATCTTAACAGACTGTGATATAATCTAAATCATTTCTTTGCCATATATTTTCTTTTTGGTGCCATTGTTATTGAGGAACATTATAGGGTTTCGCATTTCATGCATACATCATTATCTATAACGTGTAATATGATTGCATGGACTGTGTGATCTGATCTTAGTGATAACACCAAACCACCAAATGCATGTAGATATGTTTAATTTCTTTTTTAAACTGGTTTAAAAAAGTGGTTAAAATAATTTAGAGCCCAGTCGTGTTGCGGCTACTTTGTCTTCTTAAGAAAATTTTAGCTCTTTTGAATATTAAAATAAGTCCAAACAAAATAGATTTTGAAGATACATGAATTCACCTTCTTGCGATGAACTAACTACGGTTAGTTCAAGTATGATTTATAAAAAAACGACTCGATTTAAAGACTCATTTTACCATATTTTATTTTTAACATTGATTTACTAATATCAAGAGTCCATATAACATTCATATATCAATAAAACAAATTGGAGTAGTTGTATTGCATAGAAACAATATATCAAAGTATCTACATATATATCCATTTAAAATTTGGATGAAATCGTGCAAAAAGCTTGTACTTTCAAATCATAACGAGTCAAATATCATCACGTGCTTAACATATCAGAGTCTTCTAAACTATGTATAGTTTAAAACGTAACATTACTCATTTGAAACACAATACATATCATAATAAAAGATATTAGAACATAGTGTGTGAATAATCACACTATTACTATTTAAATAAATCATATAGCTTTATATCACACATAAAACATGGATTTGAAATGGTATTAATTTTACCATCTAATACCAAAATCAACTACGTACTCCTTAATTATAATATTCATTAGGAAAAAGCCAGATTTCAAAACATATAAAAATGTTTATAGTAAGCAATAACATATACTCCGTATTTAACCAAGTATATGAAAGATTTCACGGTCTTCCTATGTGATATTCCATCAAATATAGACCTTAATTGCCCACTTCCCTTCTAACCGGAGATGTTATTCTCATTTGATCTCTACTATATATATATATATACATATATATATATATATATATATAGAGGAATGCTCCTGTCGAGACGTCCGGACAGGAGCCGCCGTCCGGCCGGCGGCGTTTGGCCGCCTTCCCGGTGGAATTTTTTGATGAAATTTTTATGGCATGTTCTCCATCAAGTCTAGTTTATCCACAAACAAATTCAGCTAAAAACTCAATCGGGAAGGTCGTCAAATGATTTGTGCAAGTTAACTGGTCCGGAAAATACATATTCCGGACCAGTTAACTTGCAAAAATCATTTGACGACCTTCCCGATTGAGTTTTTGGCTGAATTTTTTTGTGGATAAACTAGACTTGATGGAGAACATGCCATAAAAATTTCATCAAAAAAATCCACCGGGAAGGCGGCCAAACGCCGCCGGCCGGACGGCGGCTCCTGTCCGGACGTCTGGAGAGGATCTTTTCTATATATATATATATATAGGGAGCGGTTCCGGTAAGAACAGATCTTAGGAGAAAAATGAGAACGAATCTGGACCGTTGGATTGTATTATGTGGAACCAAATTGTGCATTTGGTGAAACTGAAATGTGCATTAAATGATATTGAAATGTGCAAAATAAAAATTTAAACTCAAGTGTGCATTACATTAAACTGATATGTGCGAGAAAAAAAGTGCAAAAATAACATCACATCATACTTTTTATATTGCACATTTCAGCTTCACCCAGTGCACATTTCAATTTCACGTAATGCACAATTCAACTGCACATAATGTCACTCTATCGTACCCTTTGTGATGCACATTTCAATTTCACCTCATGCACATTACACTTTCATCTAATGCACACTGAATTTCACTTGAAGCAAATCTAACGGTCCAGATTCGTTCTCATATTTCTCATAAGATCGTGTTCTTATTTGAACCAAAACCTATATATATATATATATATATATATATATATATATATATATATATATATATATATATATATATATATAGGGTGAAAAGACTTTGATTTCTTGGAGAGGACAATTAAAATATTATATCAAGGTTTTATCTAGTTAGCCACTTAGCCTTGAACTACATCCAAAATACATAAAGAGAAAGATGAAAAAAGAATTCACACTCATCACTCATGTCAATATGTCATTACTCATTATATAACTCAAGTTTGCATTTAATTTTCTTTTACCTTTGAGCAAATACAGATTGTTGTTCATTTTTATGTTACCATTGAGCAAGTTTGCATGTTACTAATGTATATAGATCGCATAATCCCTGCAAACATTACAAAGAATGGACCAGAATCTGAGTTATCAATTTGCACATTGCCATAGCAAATGTCTTTATTCACATAAACGTAATGTTTTGTTGCATGCCATATGCCAACATGCTAGCTGGGAGGTGAAAGCTAGTCTCGGTAGGAGGGGCGGCAGTACAAAAATATACATACAAACACATACTCCCTCCGTTTCTAAAAGAACCTCACACTTTCCTTTTTTGGATGTGCCAAAATAAAAGTCACACTTCCCTTATTTCCTTATTTGGCAAAGAAATCTACATCCAAACAGTGCCAAACAGTGCCAAACAGTGTCCAAACAGTGCCAAACAGTGTCTAAACAGTGTTTTCTACAGTAAAGTCAATTTATTTCCTTAATAACTGTGAAGTCAAACCGTGACTTTCTTTTAGAAACGGAGGGAGTATATATTAAAAATTTCGAGGTAAATATACCTAGTTTTTTTTGGAGGGGCAGCAGCCCCCCTTTGTATCCGCCGCTGAGGCTAGTAGTTTTTTTATATCGATCAATTTTTGAATCTGTGAATCTATATTTGCCTAATATTCTTTAAAAGCTGATTATGTCATTTTTTATAATATACTTCCTCCGTTCTTTTTTAAATGTAACGGTCCACTTTTCACGTTTGCCAACGCACAAGTTTGACCATTCATATCTTTCATTCCTATTTTTTAAAAATTTAATTTATAATCCATTAATAAATAAAAATAGAGTCAAAGTAGAACACGTGAATGGTGGAAAAAGTCCAATGTTGCATTTAGAAAAGAATGGAGGGAGTATAAACCATTTTCCCATTAGAATTAATTAGAATCATGGCTAAGACTATGATCTGGCCGGAAAAACGCGCTGGCTCTATAATTGCATGAGCAACACAAATTAGCTAATCCTCTAGAGTACAGTAGAGACTAGAGAGAAACACGAATCCCCTTGTAATAGTTACCTGACTTACGTCTAGAGTACAGTAGAGACTAGAGAGAAACACGAATCCCCTTCTAATAGCTGTCTAATATCATCAACCCAAATATCCATGTAAGACCTTCCTGACAAACAATGGCAGTATGGCACTAAGAATAAAATAAAAAAGAAACAGAAATGAAACAGACCAAATCACGATTATATTCCGTATTACTCTTTCTACTTATCACAGTTATACACAGTACTACGCTGCTAGGAGACAGACGAAGAAGCCATTATTGAGTTCAACCGGTTAAGGAAGGCGTGGATATCGCGCGGTTTCTAGCCTTGCCCTCATTTCGGGATCTATGGTGTGAACCGTGTGACCTTCTCTTTCCAAGATATCTCTCACCATCTCCATTTTGTTCTTCATATAGTACATCATATCATGGAGATTCGGAGTGCCCACGAGCGGGAGGACGACATCCGACGTTGTTCGGGTGCCACTGCTACTCGCCTCTTCAGCTGCCACTGCTTCAACGGGTCTGTTATTCAGCACCCAGAAGGTGGCAAGAGCAGGCCCGAATGAGTTACTCCTCTCTAATCCATTAAAGGCTGCTTTTGCACTATCACCCTGTAAGAAGATCACCTGAGCAGTAGATTCGCGTGTGAATTGAGTCAGGGGCTCCAAAACTGGACCAAACTCCACAAATGCAGAAACCAGGGATTGTTTCGAAGGGAGAGGATGGCCGGGGAAAAGCTCATGAGAAGTGTGCTTACTCCTTCGGCAGAGAGTAGTTTCTTCGGGAACTTCTTCTGCCTTAACACATGTTCTGTTTCTGTCATCTCCTTTCAAGAAGTTAGTCATATTTTCCATTTCCATACCCTGAAGACTCTTAGCTTGTTCTAGACTTTTACAAAAATGCTTGAGGTACACACTTTTGTACACACTTTGTGTACACTCGTCTGTCTCTTAAGAAAATTTTGTCTGTCACAGACAATTCATATATGAGTTGTCTGTGACAGACAAAATTTTCTTAAGAGACAGACGAGTGTACAAAAAGTGTGTACACAAAGTGTGTACCTCTAGCATTTCTCAGACTTTTATTATTGCAGCTTTGCTCCACACAAACGAATTTGAAGTTTGCGGCTCTTCTATTTGATCTTCTCACCACAATAACTGCAGCAAAAATGAAATGATTGAGTTTTCAAAATGAAATCAAAATATCATTATTGGTCATTTAAAAAATTCCTTTCCAGTAGGATATAGGAGTATACATTTGGCCAGAATGTATCAATGAATATCAATGAATGCAATAATCATACATGCAAATTTAACTATAATACCAAGTACTCCCTCCCTCCCATAATGAACTTCATAGTCAACATTTCACGGTCTACAATATTAATGTTTGACCAATGATGTATAAAATTATACACTTATTAGAGCATCCACATGCATTCATGCTTCTAAAAAACTACGGCAATATGAGTAAAAGACACGGAGTTTCCCATATTATGACTAAAAAACTTGTTTGACGTGAATATGACAAAAAGTCATTGGACATGAGTAACCGGTCTCCTGAACTCCAAATGAAATGACTTGATTGCCCTCACGTGTTTGTGTTCATAGAGTTTAAACAAAAAAGGAGTTTCCATCTGAAACGGAAACTAAACGTTATTTATGCGCCCAAGATTGAAAATTTATTGCAGTAAAATACCGGAAGGATACTCTTTCCTTCTAGTCTTCTACAACCACACATCAAACAGCAAATAGATGTAGTGAAGACGAAGGACAACACCGTTCCGGTGATAGTGGAGCAGTGCAGTGAGGATACAAATTTATGGCATTATAACCGGACTGTGGGCATTAGACTATTTATAGATGTTTTCAAAATTAGTCAATATTTGAAGCACTAAGGCATTAGTTTTTTTTAATGAATCAAAAGAGGTTGGGCAATAGTTTAATGCAAAACAATAAAAACTAATCAAGAGAGGGCCGGGGCAGTAAGTTGGTTATGCTGTAAAGTTGGTCATTAAAAAAAAAGAGAATCATAGTAATTTTGTTTACGTAGTGACATTGGTCGATTAAAATAAAAGAAGGCAATAAATTTTTTGTGCAGTAATATTAGTCATTAAAACAATAGGGCGATAGTAATTTTGATTCAGTAGTGACATTGGTCAATTAAAAATAAGAGAGGGACAGTAAAATGATCAATAACATTGATCAGTAATAAAATGATATTTTTCCAATAAAAAGAGCAGTAAAACAGTTTCGTAGTTATTAAGGGCAATAAAAACGTACAGAGCAGTGAGTGATCTTGTATGACATTTATGGAAGAGCAAGTAAGATTTACGATTGTATAAAAAATAATATAATAATGCAATAGTTACCGAAATCTAACGGAGTAAAGATAAGCCCTACTTTTTAGGATTAGTGATTAATATGGTTGTATGATCATGAGTTGTATAACCGAAAAATAAGCAAAGAGAAATTTTCCATCTATATCTATCTATGCAGCGTGTGTTTAAAGGGTAGCAGTGGAAATTAATAGTAATAATAATAACATTAAATGACCGTGCGTCTCATTACCGCATCAAACTAGGAAAAAAAGTGATTAAGTCATAGATTGAGAAATAGATGATCTTTTGGTTATATGAGAGACAATTTTCTCGAACTTCATAGTCAACATTTCACGGTCTACAATATTAATGTTTGACCAATGATGTATAAAATTATACACTTATTAGAGCATCCACATGCATTCATGCTTCTAACATAATCATTTTTTTGTGATTCTTACCTTTTAATATTTGCCACATAAATAAGGAATAATCTCATCGCCTCCGAATTACCTTAAACAATCATTCCGAAATAATCTAATCTTTTGTGGGTCCTGTAGTAACTAATTAACTCTAACTTCATAAATAATCCCACAATAATCTGGTTTCATATTTTGATCTCAAATTATTCTATCAGTTAATCCCGCCTAATAATCTCTCTCACTCAACCATGCTCCCTGAAATAATCTGCCATGTCACTAAAATAATCACCTAATAATTTCATGGATGGTTATGCCCTTATAAACTTATAATAAACTAAAATTTCAATAATATATATTAAAATGAAGCTTTCAAAATTATTTTGGTACTATAAAATAATGTGGTTTTTGACTAATTAACGGTCAAAGTTAACAATGCTTGACTCAAGAAGTCAAAATGTAAAGTTAAATGTGAGACAGAGGGAGTATAACAAAAAGAATTAATGTTAATTCTTATTCTTATACTTCATATTATTGTTTTTTATTGTATACTTCGTTTTATTGTAACACCTAAAAAATATGTAGTAGACATTTCAACCAACAAAGAAAACAGTGTGTAATTCAATTGACAATTAATTACCTCATCAAGTAGAGCTCTAAGAATTGCTTTGCATAGTATTTTTTGTTCAAATTTCTTACATAATAGTACTCCATATTTATTTTTAATTCTTTTAAATTATGTTATTTTCCTTAGTGACCTAGCTTGCACTTAAAAATTTATATTTAGAATCCATGTAGAAATTAAAATTTTAATATAGATCTCTTTTAAATTCTATTGGACTAATCTTGAATTTTATTAGCTTACTGTTTTGGGGAATTTTCCAATGAATTGAATTTCGTACTCCATTTAGTTTCAATTTAGTTCTCCATAATGGCACATGTACACATCGTCTTATATTTTATATCTACAAAATGTGTAAAAAGTCATCTTTTAATTAACACCACTTGTAAATGCTATTGAACCAATCACAGTCTTAATGGCTATTCATTTGGGGCAATGAATTGAATTTATTACAAAATTTGGTTCAAATTATTATTTCAAAATTGTTTTGGATCGATTTGTTTTAAAGGATCCAAATAGTTTTAATAATCATCATATTAATAAGGGCACATGCTATATATAGTCTTATATTTTGATTTTATGTTTCTAAAAGATGTGTAGAAATTATATTTTTAACATGGACCTCTATTAAATACTATTGGAAAGATCTCGAATTTTATTGGTCACTCGTTTTAGTAAATGAATTGAGTATATTACTCTATTTAGTTTCAATTATTAATTTCAATGATCATTTAACAATTATTCTGAAATCGTTTTAGATCAATTATCTTTAAGGATTTCAATATTTTAGATAATAATTTAAATAACAACCCTGCATATATAATCATGAGGTGAATAAATTTTACAAGATCAAATTGTACGTAAACTATATGAGTGGATTCAACTAAGTTTTAAGAAAATTTGAAATCGAATGTCTAAATATTCGAAAATTCAAAGATGAATATTTAAAGATTATATGACAAAGATTTGATATTTTAACAACCATGCATCGAGTATTTGAAAACCTGAAATTTTTAATATTCAATTTTAAATTCAATACTTTATTTAAGTTTCTTTAAATTTATGTGAAAATTTAGAGATTTCATATGTATTTTGTACACAATATTTCTCACATACGTAGTATTTTATTCTACCCAAGTTTAAGCAAATACATAAAGTTATTGTCACAAGGTGTTCAATGGGTTTTGTATGAATGTTTCTTATATGAATTTGTGAAGATATAGTGTGATTTCATATGCTTTTTTCTTTGAACTAAATTCTTTCTAGTTTGAATCTTTCTGATTCAGTCTGAATCATTTGGATCTGATATGTTTATGCTCCAAACAATTTTTTTCAAATATGAATATATCTGATCATATTGGAACATTTTCTATCTAATGTAAATTTTTGTAGGCTTGTTCTAGGGTTTTATCATCAGAGCTTTGACTTGCCCCTTCCACACAATCATTCTGAAGGCCTCAATGTCGCTCCTAGATTCCATTGAATTAAGGATTTAAGTAAGTTTTTCACTGTTTTCTATTTTCTCCGATGACCACATTAACTGCTACAAGACAAGTCGACTTTATTTCAAAACTCATACAATAGTTAATTTGGGCATTTACACGATTTCCATTTCAAGTGGGCGTATTCATTCGGCTTGTACCAAATGAATAATATAAATGCATTAATCAATAACGCAAATTTAACAAATATACAAAGAAGATGAAGTCATTCTCACATAGAGTGATTTCTTGAACGAGTTGTTAATGGAATTAATCTAAAAGTGAGACGTACAGCTGCAACCAAACAAGAAAATGAGAAGCTATTACTGTAGTACGGAGTAATTAGTTACCTCAAAGAGTGCTCCAAGAATTGTTTTGCATATTCAGAGTAGATGAAAAGTATTGAAGTGTTTAGTGATTGAGATGTATATGAGATTAATGAGAAAGGGCGTAGCTACTTGTAGGAGTGTTGGCGTGAGGGGTCAAAATTGGTTGAGGCGATGACAAATTAAGGCGCCACGTGGTGTTCATGCAAAGAATTTTTCATAATTGTGCTATGAAGTGTATGGCAGGTGCCAACTAATTGATTTATGTGATCGCTCCCGGGCCCAACCTAAGTCTCACTTGAGTAAGGATTAATATATTTTTGGTTGGTTTACGTATAGTACTTTTTGTTTTAATTTCTGACAATTTTTTTTTATTTTTTATATTTTTGGTTTGCTTACATATAGTATTACTTTTCTTGGTGACCTTGCCACCACTTGTACTTTCATATCTAGAAGTAGTGGCATGGAGGACTTAAAGTCTTAATATGGGCCACTTTGATATCCTATTGGACCAATCCTGAATATTATTGGATACCCGTTTTGGACAAAAGTTGAGTTTATTATTACTCCATTAGACATCAATAATTATTGATAAATTGTACTAGATCAATTAATTTAAAGGATCCAAATAATTTAGACAATCATTTAAATAATGGCATGCATACATTACATACTATTTTATATTTCTATATCTAGAAGTTGCGTAGAAATTAAAATTTTAATATGGACTCTTTTATATTCTATTCGACGAATCTCGAATTTTAGTGGTTACACGTTTTGGGAATTTATTTTTCCTTTTGGTTTCAATAGTTACTATTAAATTCTTATAGATACATCAATTAGTTCAAGGGATCCCAATAATTTTTATAATCATTTAAATTATGGAACACATCATACGTTGTCTTTGTTTTCTGAAGAAGTTGTGTAAAAAGTTAAATTTTAATATGGACCTCTTTTAAATTCCATTGGTTTAATCTTTTTTTTTGGCTACGCGTTTTGGGCAATGTATTAAACTTATTACTACATTCGCATTGTTTTCAATAATTATTCATAAATTGTGTTGGATGAATTTATTTAAATCATCCCAATAATTTAGATAATCATTAAATCATACAAAGTATTTTATTCTGCCCAAGTTTAAGCAAATACATAAAATTATTGTCACAAGGTGTTCAATTGGTTTTGTATGAATGTTTCTTATATAAATTTGTGAAGATATAGTGTGATTTGATATGCTTATTTTGAACTAATTTCTTTCTTGTTTGACTTTTTTAAAGATTCGGTTTGAATCTTTCACATCTGATATGTATGTTTATGTTCCAAACTATTTTTTTTTTTCAAATCTGAATAAATATGATCATTTTGGAACATTTTCCATTTGATGTAAATATTTGTAGGCTTGTTCTATGGTTTTATCACGAGAGCTTTGACTCACTACCCCATCCACACAATCATTCTCAAGGCCTCAATGTCACTCCTAAATTCCATTGAATTAAGGACTTAAGTTCTTCACTGTTTTCTATTTTCCTCTGATGACCATATTAATTGCTACAGGAAAAATCGACTTTATTTGAAAACTTAATACAATAGTTAATTTGGGCATTTACACGATTTCCATTTCAAGTAGGAGTATTCATACGGTTTGAACTAAATGAATAAATGCATTAATCAATCACGCAAATTTAACAAATGTACAACGAAGATCAAGTAATTCTCACATAGGGTGTTAATGGAATTAATCTCAAAGTGAGACGTATAGATGCAACCAAAAAAGAAAATGAGAAGTTATTACTTTAGTACGAAGTAATTGATTACCTCAAAGAGTGTTGTAGGAATTGTTTTGCCATCCAGAGTAGACCAAAAGTGTTGAAGTGCTAAGCGGTTAAGATGTATACTAGATTAATGAGAAAAAGGCATAGCTACTTGTAGGAGTGTTGCCGTGAGAGGTCAAAATTGGTTGAGGCGATGACGAATTAAGGTGCCACGCGTTGTTCATGCAGAGAGTTTCTTATTATTGTGCTTTTAAGTGGGGTAGGTGCGAACTAATTGATTTATGTGATCCCTCCCGGGCCCAACTGAAATCTCAATCCCGTAAAGATTAATATATTTTTGATTTGTTTACGTATAGTACGTTTTGTTTTAATTTCCTACATTTTTTATTGTTGTAAATTATATAATTATTAGTAGTTATATTTTCATATCTAGAAGTGGTGGAGGAATTAAAGGTTTAATATGGGCCACTTTGATATCCTATTGGACCAATTCCAAATATTATTGAATACCTGTTTTGGAAAAAAAATGAATTTATTACTACATCAGATTTCAATAATTGTTTATATATTGTTCTGAATCAATTAAATTAAAGGATCCCAATAATTTGGATATTCATTTAAACAATGGCATGCATATGTTACATACTATTTTATATATTTATGTAAAGAAGTTGTATAGAAATTCAAATTTTAATATGGATTCTTTTAATTCTATTGGGTGAATCTCAAATTTTATTGGTTACACGTTTTGGGAATTGATTTGAATTTATTTTTCCTTTTGGTTTCAATAATTATTATTAAATTCTAATAGATAGATCAATTAATTTAAGGGATCCAATAACTTTTATACTCATTTAAATTATGGTAAATGTTATACGTTGTATGTTTTTATTAAGAAGTTGTGAAAAAATTAAAATTTTAAAATGGGCCTCTTTACAATGCTATGTGTACAATTTTAAGTTTTGTTGGCTACATGTTTTGGGCAATGTATTAAACTTATTACTACATTTTCATTTGTTTCAATAATTATTTATAAATTTTGTTGAATAAATTAATTTGTATCATCCCTATAATTTAGATAATCATTAAATAACTGCATCGTCTTCAATTGTTCTAAGATGGGGAAGTACAACCGCAGATGGAGACTGGCTTGAAAAATTAAATTGGACATGAACAATTGTCGGAATTCGCATAAAGAAGTAAATTGAAAATTTCAACCTCTGCATATTAAGAGTCCTAATATTGCACATTCATCACAACTTAAACTTCTGATTGAAAGTGTACTTATGCAAAAAAGATTCCCAAAATTTTCCCACTTTTGCACTTTTTATTTTGTACTGTATTGCACTTTTGTGCTCTACATGTACACTTTTTGACTATTCTGATACACATTTGTCACAATATTTTCAATAAAAGTTCTCCATAATTACAACAATGTCACCGCGTTTCCAACTTATAATTGATCTCTTCATCTATTTCTTCACATCAATATCCAAGATTAGTTCTTATTTTTCACCTAGGAAGTACTTTTTATTTGAACCAATCTCTCTCTCTCTCTCTCTCTCTCTCTCTCTCTCTCTCTCTCTCTCTATATATATATATATATATATATATACATACATCATGATATTTTATACTAGTAACTATAAGTTATGTAGAATTTGAAATTTTATTATAGACCTCTTTTAAATGCTATAGCGTTTTATAATTATCTTAAGTTTTATTGGCAACATGTTTTGCGCAATGAATTGAACTTATTACTCCATTTGGTTTCAATAATATTTCCTAAATGGTATCATATCAATTAATTTAAGAGATCCAAAAAACTCTATTAATTTCTTAAATAATGGCACATCATATATATTCTCTTATATTTTTATATCTAGAAGTTGTGTGTAGATACTGAAATTTAATGTAAACCTCTTTTAAATGCAGTTGTTGTACTAATCTAAATTTTGGTGGCTATCCATTTTAGGAAATGAATTTACTTCTACATTTGATCTTCATATTCCTAAAATTGTTTTGGATCAATTATTTTAAAGGATCCTAATAACTTAGATAATCATTTCGACGGCGCACACATGCTATATGTTGTGTTAAATCATTATATATTGAAGTATTGTAGAAATTAAATTTTTTAATATTGACCTTATTAAATGCTATTGGAACAACCTTGAATTTTATTGGTTACCTATTATGTGCAATGAATTCAATTATTATCCCATTTGGTTTATATAATCATTTCTAAATTTATTTGGATAAATGAAGGGTTTTTTACAAGAATATTACTAAAGTAAAATTTATTTACATAAATATGACAATTCATTACAACAACGTAGTGTTATACTAACTTAAGTTCAAAACTTGAACATAAATTACTATGATTTCATTACTATTCTAGTAATTAGTCATATTTTTGTAAATCATCTTTATTATGCTGATATTTATGTAATTATTTCATAAATGAAACTAAGGGATCCTCGTAATTTAGATAACTATTTTTTTAAAGAGACAATTTAGACAGTCATTTAAATAAAGGCACATGCTATATACATAGTACTATCTTATACTTTTATAGATAGAAGAACATCTGTATACATTAATATTTCATATGGGAATCTTTAAATGCTATTGGACCAATCTAAACATTTATTGCTTACCCGTATAGGGCAATGAGTTAAATTTATTACTACATTTGGCTTCAATAATTATTCCTAAATTAATTCGGAACTTAATTTAAGGAATCCCAATAATCTACATAATTGCTTTAATAGTGACACATGTGATATAGTCTTAAATTTTTATAATTAGAGGATGTGTAGAAATTAAAATTCCAATATAGACCTCTTTGAAATGCTATTCCAATAAAAATTAGATTACTATATTGAAATTGTAATTTGTACACATCTTTTAGATATAAAAATTTAAGACGATATATAACATGTGTCACTATTTCATAGATAATATAAATTATTGGGATTCTTTAAATTAAGTTCCAAACTAATTTAGGAATAATTATTGAAACCAAATGTAGTAATAAATTTATTCCATTGCCTATACGGGTAAGCAAAAAAATTTAGATTGGTCCAATAGCATTAAAAGATTTCCATATGAAAATATTAATGATATACACATTTTTTTCTAGATATAACAGTATAAAATTGTACTACGTATATAGCATGTGCCTTTATCTAAATGATTATTCAAATTATATCCTTCAAAATTAATGGTTATCTAAATTATGGGGATCCCTTTGTTTTATTGATCTAAAACATTTTAGGAATAATTATCAAAACCAAATGGGAAAATAAATTGAATTCATTGACATAATTGGTAACCAATTGCAATAACATTCAAGGTTGGTTTATAGAGGAGAATATTACAAAATTCAATATGTACCCTACGTCAAGATATAAAATTATTAGACAATATATAGCATGTGCCATTGAACTGATTATCTAAATTATTGGGATTCTTTAAAATAATTGATCCAAAACAATTTAGGAATATTAAAACCAAATGGAGAAAAGAATTGATTTCATTTCTCAAAATGTATAGCCAACAAAATTTTGATTAGTCCAATAGCACTTAGAAGAGGTTCACATTAAATTTGAGTATCAACAAGCTTCTGGATATAAAAATATAAGAGAATATATAAGATGTGGCATTATTTAAATAATTAATAAGTTATTTGGATTCTTTAAATTAATTGATCCGAAACAATTTAGGAATTATTATTGAAATCAAATGAAGTAATAAGTTCAATTCATTGTGCAAAACAGGTCGCCAATAAAATTCAATATAGGTATAAACTCCATAGCATTTAAAAGAGGTGTATATTAAACTTTTAATTTCTACACAAGTTTTAAGTATATAAGTGACTAAGGAGGTGTTTATTTCACTGCTAAAGTCACAGTTAGGTTAGTAAGACATGTGAAGTAAACACGCACACTGCTTAAAAAGCCGCTTACTAACTGAAAAAGGTGCTTAAAGTGCCGCTTATTAAGCATATCACCCCCCATGTATTAATTAAGCGTCACTTTAAGCTTTTTCAGTTTCCGAATTTACCCCTTGCCCTTACCCTATTGTTACCCCTGTCCCACCTCGATCCCAACCCCACCTACCCCGACCCCACCTACCCCGACCCCACCCCACCCTTACCCCACCTCGCTACCCCACCCCGACCCCACCCTACCCCACTCCTACCCTACCTAACCGACCCCACCCTACCCTTACCCTACCCCGACCCTACCCCGACCTACCCGACCCCACCCTACCAATACCCCGACCCCACCCTACCCCAACCTTACCTATCCGACCCCCACCCTACACGTACCCCACCTTACCCCTACCCTACCCTGACCCTACCCCATTACCCGACCCCACCCTACCCACCCCACCCTACCCTACCTAACCGACCCCACCCTACCGCAACCCCACCCTTACCCTTACCCTTACCCTACCTACCCTACCCGACCCCACCTTACCCCTACCCTACCCTGACCCAACCCTACCCCATCCTACCCCTACCCGACCCCCACCCTAACACTACCCTACCTACCCGATCCCACCCCTACCCTACTTACCCGACCACACACCTACCCTTACCCTACCTACCCCACCCCTTACCCACCTACCCGACCGCACCCTACCCTATCCGACCCCACCCTACTACCCCCCTACCCCGCCTCAACCCCCACCCTACCTACCCGAACCCACCCTACCCCTACCCACCCTACCACTACCCGACCTCAATCACCCCACCATACCCTTACCCCACCTACCCCACCCCACCCTATACCCCTTACCCCACTCTGTACCTAGGGTGGTGGGGTCAGGGTGGGGCCGATGTGATAGAGGCGCTAGGGACAAGGTAGGTGTGGTGGGGTAGGGGTAGGGTGGGGTCGGGTAGGTAGGGTAGGGGGTAGGGTGGGATCGGGTAGAGGGTGGGGTAGGGGTAGGGGCGGGGTTGGGGTAAGGTAGGGTAAGGTGGGGTCAGGGTGGGGTCGATGTGGTAAGGGCCTATGGGGTCGGGGGTAGGGTTGCGGTAGGGTGGGGACGGGTTAGGGTGGGGTCGGGTAGGGGTACGGTCGGGTAGGTAGGGTGGGGTCAGGTAGGGGGTAG